AACGTGCCTAGAACGGGCTGCTGGTGTTTGCCCCTGAAAACTTACTCACAGCTAGAGGATTCTCTGCATCTTGGGGTCTTCAAAGTATTTGAAGGCTTCAATATCTGAGACATAGGTGAGAGGATTATTCTGGGAGGGGTGGGTGAGATTTTGTGGCCTGCACTGTGCAGGGGGTCAGACTAGATGATCATAATGGTCCCTTCTGACCTTAAAGTCTATGAGTCTATGAGCTGGTTTCGCACTAACATAACATGGAGCAGACAGGGCCAAAAGCTATTCGCCTATTCATGCCAGCGCCTCAAATGACGCCCCTAGGCCCCGTCGCTTGGGCTAAAACTTTGAAAGGTCTCAATTCTGCCTTCTTCCTGTTCTACTCCTCTCATAGTCCTGCTCTGCCACCTCTGTGCATCTAGAGCAGAGAGGATACATATGCACCTGCTCCAGACACAATTTTCTACACTCTGGGTCCTAATGGCATCCCTCTTCCCCCCACAGTCTAGCAGCTGAGGCATCGGCCTCAGTTCCCCTCCTGGTAAGGCCATCCCTGCCAGTGCCCCATGACAGCGAGTCAAGCAAGCGGAGTTTGGCTCGCAGGTCGAATGACGAGGCCTGATTTGCATTGACTTCGGCAGATGTACCCCTGACTTCAGCGGGAGCTTCGGCTGAAACTGGAACGCAGGATTGGCTCCTTCTATGGGAATATTTATGTGACTCTACTTTCTACCTTTGTCTAAGCATCTACATGTAGATACTTTTACATATACAGGAACAGCGACTTACGTCATAGAGACGAATGATATAGATTCGTTCATTAGTGACAGATATTGTATGACCAAAATAATGACTTTGCTTAAATAACCTTTTCCTAATGAGCTCTCCAAATCCATTTCTAAAATAATCTCTTGCCGCTAGCCAGGGATGCTGTCTAAATACTATTTACGTTTGGATCTCGGGGCATCTTTCACGTTGCTGAGAAAGGGGGCCAAATTACGGATCCATTTTCATATTTTAACACTGAACCAGTTTTCACTGCAGTTTGCCTTGTTATCACAGCGAGGGGCCTGAGAGCAGACGGATACCCGTGCATCCGATGCAACAGCTGTGTCTTCTGTGTAAGAATGAGCACTGTATGTAAAGAAGGGTTTTGTTGTGGTTATTGTTGGGCTCATATTGTTGGGGGGGGGGAGTAAGTTTATTTGACCAAAATCGTACTGATTTCCTCTGACTCAAAGATGAAATGCAGCTGACGGCATGGGCTTTCCGCCGCGACTTCTCTAGCTGGTTTATAAAGTGGTCGAGTTAAAAAGCATGAAAGATCCCATCCACATCGTCACGTTCAACAGTGAGAAGTTGATCTCGCAGCGTTTTACTCGCCTGCTCTCAGGAGACTCCAAATGCCAAAGAATTAGGCAGGGTAAATACGGGAATAACAGATTTTTACTTCCCCTAGAAAAACACACGAGATAGAGGAGCTGAGTTTACACCAAAGGTCACGTTAAAAAAAATAGTTGGCTGTGGACAAAGCTGTTGAGATTAGCTTGAAGTAGGGGAGTAGAGATGAAATCAGCCACTTAGCTCGGTTATTATACAGCGTCCATTGGCAATGATTAACAACAGAGTTACTGTCGCTTTACACTGCCGCGGGCCGGCGTTCCCAAGTGGAGTTTGACTCGTTAGTGTTGGTGAGGATGACAAAGTCGATGGGTAGGAAGACGCTGCTCTCCCCTGCACTGATGCTACTTTAATGTACTTCATCTGCATGCGCTTTCGGATGAGCGCTTAGCCCCTGCTTGTCAGGCGCACTGGGCGAGACGGCCACAGTCACGCTCCTCATTGAATTATGTAGGCGAGGTGCGCTTGGGTTGATTTGAATGCAGTAAATACGGGGCCATCTAGCGCCCAGCTCACCTGCCCAGGGACAGTGCGGAGCGTGGGCAAACATATGGCCACCCACACAGTCACCTGCTCTCCGCCTTGGCACTTCCAGACCCCACGCGAGCGGGAGGAAGGGATCTGAGCAGGCAAACCGCGACGCCTGTCAGTCTAGAGGGAAGCTTTCCTCCAGCCTGCAATCGGCATCCGCTTAAACTAACCTCCGCGTCAGCTGAGACTATCCCGGTGGGCCCAGCCAGCAGAGTTTACCCCACTGCTGGACAGCGAACTGACACCAGGGCTCGCCGCGCGGGTTTCACTAATAGCAACATTGTCACTTGGCTGTTCAGTCGCCCTATCCTGGCCAGGCACTGCGAGCAACTTCGGATTTACTGAGATCTACTCGGTGCCGATTCTAACCTCTCAGCAGGTGAACTTTAACCCTCATAAAAGCCACTGACATTTTATCCCTCGTGATTAGCTGGGGTGTTTGCAACAATGCTCGTGACGTTATTTATTAGCTTTCTTCGTAAAAGTCCTACACTCCATGTGAAAGATGCTTCGCATCCCGCTCTAAGCTCCATTTTTTTTGTTACCAAAGCCTTAACCACAAAGGAAAAAGTGAGATCATACGAATAAACTGTTCTTTTCTCAAATACCCTAGACAAAACCAAACTAACCAAGCGATCAGAGTTGGGCTTTTTTTCCCCCTATAATTCTAGTTTTATAGTGCCAACTGCAACTGATGGCCAGCTGGGTCTCTGTGTAGAAGTAAATTAACTGGAAAGCCAAAGTCAGAGCTGCAGTCAACTGGAAAAAAAAAGAAACCAGTACAACATGGCCCGCTGTATACAAGCCATTGCTCAAAGTGCGGTAGCGAGAGGTGTACAAAAGGGGTGCTTTTGTCTGACGCAGAATTTTTGCTCAGGGCATGTAGAACTAAAACTGCGCTAGCATTTGCAAGGGGGGGGGATGCCTCGAATAATAGAATCGAATGTTTACAAAATACAATCAAATGCATCCTGTTCTGGGATTGAACATGCACTGTAAAGCGGAAGCATAGGACTGAGAAAGAAGTTGTTTTGTTGAAAGAAACAGCATTGAAGACATTTGTGTAGGGATTTCAAAAGGCAGCGGGAGTTTTGAAATGTGTCTCCTCCAGATCTGTTAGCTCAGTGGTGGGCTTGCTTTCCGGTTCTACAAGAAAGTCGCATGTATAGAGGTAAAAAGTGAGAGGTGGTTTGGAATTGGTTTGTTTTTAAATCACCTCGTTTTAGGAACAACTGCAAAACTGGAAGTACTGTATTTTGACTTGGTGCCCTGTAAGCAGCCGAGTGTCTCAGTCAGGCGTTGTATATGCTAGAAAGGCTTTAAGAAGTGGCTATCTGGAAGAATGGCAGGCTTCCGCTGCAGACAGGGATCCTGCAATTCTGAAATATGCTGCTTTATCCAAGGAATATACGTGCCACAGCCTCCTTTTGGAAAGGCAGAATGGAATTTAGATGTTGTACTTTGGTACCTGAAACTCTGGTAAAAAAGATGGGCTGAGGAAATACCGAATGAAATAAAAGCACCCTATCAGTTATGCGTGCAAAAACCTACCGAAACAGACATTCCTGTGGGCTCGATCCTGAAAGCCTTGCTCAGACAAAATAGTCAGGCCCTCTATTATTTAAGTTAAGATGTTGCTTCAGCAAAATATTGTTTCGTCTGGTTTTGTTTAATAATCAAATATGTCAGACAAACGGACATAGTACTACTTTTTCTCTAAATTGCAAACTAACTGATTCCTTTTCTCAGGTCCCAGCGTTTCTGTTTGCTTCAATTCAGCCACGAAAGAAATAACAATAGTCATCCACTGTTTAGATAGGGAAATGATCATAGCTAAATAATGTCTTTCAATTTGTTTCTATACTGGGTCTAATTATTTACTTTAGACCCCCTCCCCCGCAGCTAGACGATTATTAATCGTTTTGTTCCTGGAAAATAGCCTCTTTCACATAACAAAGTTCACATATTACCCCTGATAATGGCTTATGTTGCTTGCTACTTAAAAAGTTAACACACTCTCTATTGGCCTGAGATTAACCCACCTCGGCTATATATGCAACTCATGACTTCCTGAAATCTCCAGGAATGTTCTACAAAAGGAAAAGAGTTCCCATGAAAAAATACACCAGGAGTAGCAACTTTGTATTTTTTTTCCAAATAAACGATCGCTTATTTTATTTGTATTACTCTTGAACCGTCTGGATGAAGTGATGTTTTACATGCTTTTAAAAATGCACCTGAAATTGAACAAAAGAACCCAAATTATCTTTTTTTCGTACCATAAGTTTTATTATTTAATCTCTGATGAGATCGGATTATCTGTACCCTTTAGTGGAAGCAACAAACGTCTTAAACTGGTTTTACTTGGTTTTTATCTTTTTTTAAAACAGAAAGTGCATTACATTTTAACTGGTCTTGCAAAGGGCTCTTCTCTTTACAAACCGAATTATTTAAATATAAATTAATAAATGTTAAGAGGCTAATATATCATCATTATTAGCTTTAAAAAGAAAACAATGTACATTCTATAGTATTCTTTATAATACAAAAGAAAACACACTTTAAATTCAATTACAGCATCTAAAGGATTTTTATAGTTTTGACTGAAAGTGGTTGTAACAAGTCCCACCAGCTACTTTAACACGCATTTTATTGGAAACTGGTTAAATTGAAACAAACTATTTAAAATTGCACCTCACCCCTCCCCCTCCCCAAAAAAAGCATTTTAAAACATTAATAAATAGCACCCAGGGCGGATGCAGTTTCAGAAGGGGGGGAGGGGTGTTCCAGCAAAGACTTCCTCATACTTGGCAAAACATCAGTGGGCTGTTTGTTTCAAATCTCCTAATCGATGCCCTTAATGAGGGGCGTCGGTTCAAATTAGGAGGGGGGATCAAGGCCTGCAGGAGAAAGTTCAGAATAAGCAGCCAAGGTGGGAGAAGAGATCACAAACAAATCCCAGCGTTCAAATTCCAACAATTCCAAAAGAACGGATCCTTAAAAAGCCAGACATGGGGGTGGAGGGGCAGGACCCAACCCTTTCTATTAGACATGGGGGTGGAGGGGCAGGACCCAACCCAACCCTTTCTATTAAAAAAAAAAAGTATTTTACATTTTAAATATTCACAGTAAAGTAACTTCTATAGTCAGTGTGACTCACGATTTATTTACAAAGAGCCTTCAACAGGTTGCTTTAGTCCGCCCAGCAGGAGCTGTGTGGGTGGAAGTAGGTCCCACCTTCCCCCTCTCAGCTGCTCTGGAGTCTGCAAGGGAAGAGGGAGCGCTCAGACAGACCCCTGCGACCCTACAATAACAGCGCCAGCAGCCAGGCAGAGGCGCGAGAGAGGGCTGGGTTTGGATGTTTGTTTACTCGCCGTCTTTTCCTGCCTCTTTCCTCCCGGGTCAGCGGATAGAGTCTAGAAAAATAGAAGATATGTACAGCATCTCAGCACACAGCACGAGTCCTCCCGGCCCCTTTAAGAGGAGCTCTCGTTCTCCGACGTGTGCAGGAGCAGGCTGCTGCTGCTCGACTTGTGTTTCTTCAGCAGCTGCGTGATCTTCTCGTCGTCCGAGTTGGGGTCCAGCGGCTTGTTGTAGTCATCGTCCTCCTCCTCGTTCTCCGAGGCCCCCTTCAGCCGCTCGGTCTCCGAGTCCTGCTTCTTCTTAGCCGTGGCCATCTCGGCCGCGTGCTTCTTCCGCCACTTGGTGCGCCGGTTCTGGAACCAAACCTGCAGCCGCCGGAGAGACGGGGGGGAAGGAGGGTTACTGACCCGGGCCAGGGCCGTGCCAGCAGCCACAGCTGTGCCCTGCAGCCCCGGGAGCCGGAGCCCCAGGCAGCCCGCAGAGCCCGCGCCACAGGTCTTGTTATTGCTGCCAGCGCGGCCAAATCATTAGCCAAATCGCACCGCTACTGTCACCATTCCCCCACCACACAGTCCCACCCCCCGCTTGCTCCTACCCAGATCATGCACCACCAGCGATCCCTAGCTCTGCCATTGTTAACCTCGCCACTTAGCCTTATTACCGCCGCAGCGGTATGATCAGTCGCTATTTAGTATCCACCCCATGCCTATTATTATGACTGTAGTTATTTATATTCACTCTGTAATGATTAGAATGGAATGATCATCAAACATACCATATAATTACTGCTGAGGTAGCGTTAGTGTAGGTGTCTAAGTTATTAATCGTATGATGTTATTGCTACAATAGAGGGATTAAAATCCATACCATAGTTATTAATATTGTCACAGTGTTATTAGTATCCCGGGCATAGTTATGACTATACTATACAATTATTATTATTATTATTATACCATAAGGTATTCATAAGTAAGTATTCGGTTACCACAAACACTTAAATATTCCTATAATTAACCTAAAATTATTATAATTATTGCTATACAACTATCACTACCATTACCATATAATAATTGATATTTGTGCTATGTTTTATTATTACGATTACAACAGATTAATCAATATTCATATCAGAACTATAATTATGAAAATTAAGTTAACAGAATGCAGTTCATACTTATTGTTGCTCGCGTGAAATGATCAGTATTCAGATTGTGGTTATTATCATTGTTATTATTCTAAGTGATTATAATTATTACTATATTGTTGTGATTGTTATCGACACAAAACTATTGTTTTGCTATTGCAACGTTATTATTGGTAGTTAAAGGTTTTTTCAGTGTCCAGCATATTTAAATTGCTTTTTCTTCTGATGGAGGAGCATTTTGTGGCTTTTTTGGGTTCATTTTTATTCTATTTTTATTTTATTTTAGGAGGAGTTTCATAGCGAGTCTTGGAGACTTTTACATGAACCTTTGCATACTAATAGAGGGAGGGAATAATTTTACTCGTCTTAATTTTCTATTACATTCTACAATTGTTGTGATTTTTTTCCTCCTCTCTTCCCTACTAATGTTTTTGCCTGTCCAGTTTGTTTAATTAAAACTCAACTACATTGTATCAAACTTAATGGAACAGCCATTTCCCATGTAAATATATGCGTCTTTATTTAGGTGTTATCTGTCGTCCTAAATTTGTAATTCAAATTGAGAAGCGTGTGGTTCTAATGCTGTATCCAAATGGTCGAAAACAGTTAGAGGTAAGACTAACTGATCACAAAAACTTATTCTGTGCTGTGTCATCAGGTTAAAATAAGTTTTACTTACTATGGCTTTTAAAGATGAAATTATATTTTACAATAAATGAAAAAATAGATTCCAATTTTTTGTTGTTAAATTCCAAAAAGGAACAATTTACAGGCTGTTTGTTTTTTCCCCCTCTCTAAAATCCAAGTCACCAATCCTTTTGTGCAAAATATAATTTTAGTCTTGCAGAACGATTCCTACATGAAATTAAATCATTCGTTTGAAAGGAAAACATACCTAAATTTTTAGTACACTCAATGCCTACTTACTCCTGTTCATACGTGACAACAAACATTTTAGACTGTATGGTTCTCTAATGCCTCCTTTCCTGTTACATATTTTATCTTAGAAAGGATATGGTAAGAGGAGGGGGTTGTTATTTTATTGTAGGGGCTGGAAGAATTTATTCGCAGCCATTTAGACATATTTACAGTGACAAATGAGGGTCTTCAGATAACTCTGGGGGAATGAGAATCCATAAAGAGACCCTTTAACACAAAAACTGTTAATTTTTTTAAAAAGCTGCATAGAGAATTGATCTTTAAATACAGTTTTCTGTACAAAGAACGCACTGTAGCCTGTATTTGCATATTAACTTCTCAAAACCCCACCCCAGTAACATATTTAGAAGTGTTTAAAATAAATAGATTCGGGGAGGGAAGGTATAAACGATCCGATCCACTTTATGCTTGTTAGCTCAATTCCTTTATCGTTCAAGAAAAGGTCTCTAAAGTTTGAACCATTAAGCACCTTGGATCCCAAACACTAGCAAATTGGTGTTTTGTCCTTAGCAAAACACATTTTAAATATCTATCGTCATCACTTAAAGATCTAATGACCAAACATTGCATGTCTACCCGGTCAGAAAATGTATTGCCCAAATATTAATCTTCTAGCACAAACTACACTTATTTGTATATAAGTATCGAGCAATATTACGCCTTACCGCCCCCACAATTATAGAACATTAAACCTAAAATATTGGGATCACTTTACAAGCATGCCTGATTTAAAATTATTTTAAATGGAGACTTTAAAAATTGTACCATATTCTCATAAAGAACATAATTAATTATAAGCTGCAAATAAATGCCAACCGAAGTGCGTTTTTTAATATACTAAAAGGAGCCATTTATACAAAGGATTCAATTAGCAATAATATTTTGCAATGGCTTTATACTGGCAGTAATGGTGTATGTGCCGAGCATACGTATCCATTTCAGATTAACCCGATTTCAAAGGCATGCGCCTGTTTCCTTTTGTTCATTAATATCTTATACCAAGGGCTCCTTTGTATGTGTATTTTTCACACTGCGCCCAGCCTCAGCAATGTGCGGTCTTGAGTCTCTTATCTAATGTTTGACATGATCATCTCACCTTGACTTGACTCTCTGTCATCCCCAGTGAATAGGCTAGCCTAGCTCTCTCTGGTCCTGCTAAATATTTGGTCTGCTCAAAAGTCTTTTCCAGTGCGAAAATCTGCTGGCCAGAAAAAGTGGGTCTTGTGTGTTTTCTCTTTCCGTCTTTATCCAGCAAAATTGAACCTTGATCTGGAAAAGAATGAATGCATAGACAGATATGTTAAGCTGTTTATTTGGAAAACTGCTTAGCTATGCAATTTGCTGTCAAGGGAAAGGGGATATTTCTATACATGGAGGAACGAATCCACTATTTACATGTTGCCAGATTCAAACCGATGTAAATCTTTTGACGCCCATTTCTTTTGAGGGTCTGCATTCTGCGAGGCAAAAATTACTCTCCCACAAAAACAGTAATTGATAAAAGTAGGTAACTATAAAGAGTTCTTCTTGGGGAAAGTTTGTGTGAGAGCCAAACTCAAAAAAGGGGGTCGGGGAAGGAGTAGAAGAGGGTGGGGGAAGGAGTAGTAGAAATCAGGGATGTTTCAGCCTAAATGTTCTGCTAGGAAAAACGAAACGAGAAATCTGCTTTTATAAAAATTTCCCATCATTTGCCCTAAGCAATCATTTGCCTTTTAAAATGCTCTCATACACATACACATACACACCCACGCCAGCCATGAGTGCTTAAATTGCCAGCAAGTAAATAATGCATATAAAGAATGATCATCAGATAACATACGTCTTTCGGGGCCAGACAGTAAGTGTTTGCTATTGCAGGAATTCTATGCCCATTGATCAAAACGGTGTTTAGTAAAATCGACCTTTTAAGGTGTCCCTTTGACTAACCCTAAGCTTAGAACATCACTGTGCTCAGTGTTACAAAAGTCATCAGTCATTAGAAAACCGTTATGGGAACGTGGAAGTTTCGTCAGCCACGAAATAACGAGAGAGGAGAAAAGAGGAGGCATAATCGTCCCGAGTTAGTGGAAGTCTCGCTCTGAAAAGAGCGGGGGAAGAAGCGGTTGGCCCTGAAAACTTTTATCCAGGAGAGCTCTGGGACTCTTCAGCTTTTTTTTTGCCCAGACAATCACATCTCCCAACTGACCCTTCTCAATAGTTGCAGAGGAGGTCTGCAGTTAAAGTTGGGAGCCAATGCTAACTGGTATCCGCCCGAGGG